TTGTGTACCAAATATGCCAAAGATGTCTACAAAATTATCTCAGTTATTATTAAAAAACTGATTATTTTTGAAAACTTTGCCACCCTGTATCTCAAAAGTTAAGGCGTTTAGGACATACGTCCATAGGAAGTTTTTTTCTTAAAATGGGTCTAAGAATTACCTCCTCAAATATTAGCATGTGTTTAAGGAACACCCTGTATAGACTTTTGTTCTTACAATTGTCTCAGGAATACATCACATGAATATTTTAACGTACTTATGTTACATCCTGTATATATAAAAAGCTATTTATTGTACAGCGAAACACGCGTTTTCATGAAACTGTTTAGTGAAAATATAACAATGAGATGTTTCTTGTAAGTGTAAGTCAGTTAGGAAACACGTAAAAGAAACATTCTTCGGAAGTCCTAAGGAACAGTTTTGATTTAGATGCTTTTTTCACGTTTCCAGAACGAGGAAACAATTATTTATATTGAACAAGTGTTTGCTATTTATATAAAATAAAATCCAACAATTCCCTTTGGAATTCAGAAATTAATGAATATTTATGTTACTGTATTCTTATGGCTAGTACGAATGATTTGAAATTATACCGGGTGTCAACGAATCTAATTGGCGTCATTACTTCTGAAGTAGGTAATAGGTGTATTATAATAAGATTTGATGTAGGTATATATTTGGTATATAAAGAGTATTCACATATTGTTTATTTTTCTTTCACTTCCGGTTTCACCAGAAGTGGTTCTGATTTTGAATTTTCAATTGGAACAAACTGTATATTCCAACTTTATTGAATTCAATTGATTTCATTTAGTCACTTTCCATATCACATCTAGGTGACCATAATCTATAGACCTCAAGTTATGCCAAAAAATTACATTCGCAAAGTTTTAGTGACTAGAATAATAGATAGGTATAAAACTAGTCGGCAAAATTTCATGTCTTACTCTTTTTGTTAAAAAGGTAACAATTTTTTGACAATCGCTTTAGGAAAAATGTATTTTTTGATGAATATAACGATATTGATTTATTTATGACTGAATAAGCAATTTAAAAAAAAACAAAATCTGTATTGGTAGCTCATGGCTGAATGGAACCTGAAGTACCAAACGTTTCGTCTGCTACTGCGGCAGACATCATCAATGGTATGTGCGTTAACTGCGAGGACGAAGGTTAGATCTCGAAGCCTCAGCAGTCGTTACTGATTGCATTGAAAATTTCAGTGTTGCTTCTCTCAACACGTTTCGTAACATTTGAGGCGTTATACTTCTAAATGCCAGTAGAGTTCTTTCATATGAAATTTCAATGATTGCTGGAGCTGTTGCACCTTAGATCCTGTGTTTAATATATCCTCAATTGATGAAATCAAGCACAATGAAATCTGGTGGGCGGGCAGACCATCCTACTGGGTCATTGATTGCAATATCTTGATTATTTGTTTTGAAAATGTTTTTTCGGGTGATTTGGAACGTCTCTAGAATTTTGGGAAGTTGTTCCATCTTGTTGAAAGTGAATTCGTCATACAACTGCTGAAGGTAGATTACTCAACCCTTGGTAACTAACTTCGAAACAATATTGGTTCAGTTATTTTGGTTCAGTTAACCGGACAGATGTAGAAGGCTGTCATATTCGGCTCACTGCGCTTGCTTAGGGCACATGATCACTTATTCCCAGGTCTTCCATTGATAATGCTGGCGCGCCCTCCCGAATGTATCAAGGCTTCGAGAGATAGAGCCCGACTAGCGAAAAAACATTAATTATAATGTTTATTTGACAAAAATATATAACATGCATTACGCAAGTGAAACGATTACATGAAGTATATAAATAAATGAATGAAAGTGTACTTGAAACTTCATTAATCTAGCTAGCGAATAAACAAATAACTCACTGGCTAGCTAAGCCAGCGCGTGAATACACTGTTATTATTCGAGTATTATTTGACTGTTGTTTAATATGTGCTAGAACAAAATACAATATATTTTCGTGTATTCCACCATGAGAATTCTAATTAAAATCTATATTCAAAACTGAACATTTTAAATATAACATAACTATATAGTCTACTCCAAAATGAATTATATTAGTCTAATTCTCAATAGATTGATGGTTATGTGTATAAAGAGAAGTTGTCTTTGATTATTGAATAAATATGAATTGGGATTCATCAGTTTATGAATTATTATTCTTTCTGATGTTGAGAGAAATCGTTTAGTGTTTTCTGAATAGTATGATGAAATTGAACTCTTGTATTTTTTTTAAAAAGACTTTTATATATTCTTGTACTTTGGTGAATATAATAACAAGAAGAATATAGAAAACATGTTTTATCGAAATTTATTTTCATTTTTTCCTGATGATGAAATTGATAAAAATTACAAATAATACATTGAATATGTAAAGTTACTGATTGATTGACATATACAAAAAAAAAGGAAATTGAAATTTAATCAACATTATTTTCCGTATAGAAGACTCCACCACCTCAGTCTGTTTTACTGCAAACACAAGCAATGATGGTCACATCATCTATAGGGTCCTCCAACAGGGACTCCCGAACTTTGACAATTGGACGGATATAGCATTCAACAACAATGAGGCCCATTTTTTGATGAATGGGCCTCATTCCGCAACCGCAACCCGCAAGAGTTTATTGTGGCTCACACATATTCATACTCGACCAAATAAACCCAGTTCCTTAACGAAGCTGATTAGTTTGTATGTTGAGTGGTCTTTCAGGTCAGATCGTGAGAGTAGGGCTCTGCCGGTGCCCAGCGGGGCAGGCACAAAGTATGTGCTTTGCTGTTCCATTGTTTTCCAAACAGAGGCGAGGCACACTGTCTTCCGATAGTCCGAGTCTCTGCATATGATGATTTAAATGACCGTGACCTGTTAGACATCGTAGTTCATCCCTACTGTAGTCCAACAACTGTTTGGTATCAAGTTCGAAGGGTGAATAAACGCCTTGGAGTGAACCAATCCTGGAAGATTCTGCCAGAAGTCTATAAATCTTCTTGCCATCCAGGTGTTCA